ATCTTCTCAACCTTGCATAACGGCTGTTGTAAACTCTCAAACAGGCCGTTTTGGGTCAACAACCTCATTCTCCCTACCCGATGTCTCAGCAAGCGGTACTTGTTGTACCGATTTGCTGAGCATGAACCTCTTCCTCCCTCTTCTCCTCCTCATCCTCGGCCCCCCGAGCTTCATTATTCTCAGCATCAACGACATTGTCAAGCAATGGCCCTGCAACTGCCATCACATGCGTGACCCTTTTAGGTCCCGCATCAGGCGGTCTATCTGTTCATCCCTTTCATCCTCCATTACTCTGAAAGATGTGACATAGTCCTCTTCCGCTTCATCCCCAATAGCGGTCAAAAAGGGCGGACGACTCCCTGCAATAAGAAATAAAATCAATCAGATTGAAGCAAATAAAAAAGCAACTGCATGTCAAAAGCTTAATCCTTCAATCTTACCCCAGCTCGTTGAATCTCAATCTCTAATTGGCCATAATCCCAATGGTTACAGCTCTCGACATGCCACGGCAACATCCTAGAAAATTGCTGTTGCACATTCAAATTGTTGCTCCTCCCCGCCGCCTTAGCGAAGACAGGGATGGCCTCGTACATCCAACTTTACATTGTAAAAAAACGTCCATGTCATTATTCAAACACACATATTATAAAAAATATAATAGCAGCTATTATATTTTACCTGCATTGCCCATGGAAGCCAAACAAATTATACGCTTGGTTTAGCCTTCCCGCCCCTTGTGCGCTGCTTTAACGCCATGTCTGGTTTTTTCAGGCTCTTGATGGTTCGCTCAAATGATATCCGTCCCCCCGGATAAGAATTAATAACTCCAAGTCGCTTACAAACAGCAACCAATCTTTCTCAACAGCTTTTTTGAGTCACCAGCCATAAGAAGATAGAATGTAAAAACATATCAAGCACACTTTTATCTTCTCTGCATCACTAAACCGAACTGTATATAGCCTCTCTCCTAAAACTTTCCTGTAATAGACTTTGCCCCTTTCAAACCTTTTTACAAAAGTTTATGGCTTCCGCACTCGTCCTTATGCGTCTGCTTCCGCCTTAGTTGGCATTTTCCCGCATCCTAAGCCCGTCACCAACGTAACTCCATAATACCAAACCGTAGTGGCTTTCCCTCCACCACGAACCACATTTCATTTTTTGTTGCATTTTACTGAGTGCATCAACATGTATGCACTCCCTGCCCCCAAAATGACTTTTTCCACTTTGTTCCGATTCTTAAAACTGACCGAAACAGATGCCACCAAAATCTCTTTCACCATGCCTCATTCTAGCTAAAATGGTCCTTATTCTGTCAAAAACCTCCCAGCTCGACCTCACCGTCACCCTTGCAGGAAGTAGGGTACCTTCTCACTTATAGGCTCCACCTCGTACTCTCTACAGTTTACGGTCCGCACAATCTGCACAATCGTATAAATAAAATGTCATCAACAAAATAAACCAAAACCACTGTAGTCGCTTAAGCGATCTAGATCTTTACTCTGCCTCATGCAAGATCGCTTAAGCGATTTTAAATCGCTTAGCGACCAAGAGTTCACTGAGAATCTCTAAAGCGATACAACAGATCGCTTATTATATCTGTGATTCTGCCAGCCTAAGATCGCTTAACGACCAAGAGTACACTCATGATCGCTTAAGCGATCCTTTTTATCGCTTAAGCGATCATGGCTGCGATCACGATGTAAAACAGAATAATCGCTTAAGCGATACAAATGATCGCTTAACGAAATTACAAGCAACATTCCCAAACTGCGTACCCTATCTTCGTCGACCTCTCCTCGTCTCCTGGATCCCTCGACGACTCCTCCTGGCCTGAATTCTCGCCGGAATCCACCTCCTGGCCTGAATTCTCTCTGGAATCCTCCTCCTGGCCTGAATTCTCGCCTGACTCCTCGTCTTCAGCCCCGTTTGCTGGTTCTTCCCTCTGTTCTTGCCCGCCGGCGTCTCCTTTACGTGTGGACCACCTTCACTGGTCAGAGATCCACCGGAGCAGCCATTGAACTGCTTGCGCCACCGGAATCTGGATTCGAAGTGGCTTTGGCCTTCCCTCCTCATTGTCAGTGTCAGTCATGGTTTTGGATTGAATTTGGTGTCAAAGTTTGCAGTTTCGATCGGAAATGTAACTGTATCGCCGAAATGACACAGATTTCGTTTATGGTTAAGGAAATCAATTTTAGTTTTCAAAAATCGATCGAAAATCGCGTCTGTATCTGTTAGGGTTCAGAAATTGATTTAGGGTGCAAATTTGTAGGTGTTCGATCGGAAAAAATCGCGTCTCCCTTTCGTTCAGAAATCGCTTTTTGAACTGATGAATTTCGATTAAGCGAGGTGAATATTAGTGGGGCTTGTTTTGGGAAATTTCAAATTTTAAAAACTTTCATTATTTCTGATTCGGCCCCACTATGTTTTAATCTTTTCATTTTAACCCATTTTACGTGTTTAATTAATCCTAACTATGCCACGTCATCTTCTCTAAATTAAAAAAAAATGATGAACAGTTTCAAGGCCATTTTCTTAAATAGAACTTGGGATGACAGGGCAGCTAAATTTTCTCCAAAAAAGGTCTATTAGTTAGGATTGGGGAAAAAAAGAAAAATCAGATTAGAAGAAGTGAAGAACTGCCATCGCCTCGACATCAATTTGCCCTAACCTAAACGACCCTCCTCATTCTCTCTCAACCTCTGTTAGACTGTTACTCTATTTCTCCCTGAGTTTCTGCGACTCTCCCTCACTCGCTGTCTTCATTACCGTCATCGACCGATAAAGGTATCAATTTCATGCCGTTTTTACATTTCTGTCTTCGCTGTTACAAAGGTTTCGTATTGCCATCATCTAGTTATCTAGCTTCTGGTTTCAAGGTTTCTTATTGGGGAAATAGGAAGATGAAGAATAATCTTTGATTCTTTATTTGGAGAAATGATTGAATGGAAGAAATATTGCTAGAAGATTTATTTTATCATTGGTTTTGGAGGTGGACGAAGTAGGTAAGAAATTGGTGAGGGTTTTAGGTCTTGATATTGTTTGTAAAATTGGAAAAGGAGGGTTATTGTGGGTGAGATGTATGAGTTTTTGCTAAACCTTGGAATTAGTTCAGTCATGGTCATAGAGATTTATGAGGTTTCTTTACTAGAGAATGAAAATTAGAAGGCGGAAATTCTTTTTCCGTTATCTTTACCGGGTAGAATGAAGTCTTGAATGATGTTTGGTGGGGTAGATTCTTGTGTACTGTTTTTCTTATTCTATCACATCTTAACTTTTCTGGTTTACCTAATATCTAATTGGTAGTTTATTAAAAATAGTGTTAATAGATGGTTAAGACAATACAGTGATAGGATAACTTTACTGCTGTGAGAATTTGGGTACTGCTATGATGGTTCCATACCTTAGTGATGAAATAATAATTCTCAAGTATTAAATCCATAGCCGAATGAATAATAAATTTTTTCAGCAAAGGTTTTGGATGTGTTACCTTTTGATTTTTGGTATGGTAATGGTTATGTCTTATGACTTGGAAGTGAAGACATTTGAGTTATAGAATAATACTTGTGCAATAATAATTTAAGTAAAGCCCATACATTAAAATGTTTATAACATTTATTGGAGATAATTACGAATCTTTGATATTTGATATTTGAAGAGTAATTGACTTAATAAAATATATTTATTATAATTAATTAAATATGAAAAAATAAAAAATAGAAAAAACTAAACCAAATCTGAGTTAATCCCACAGTCATCGCACTCTCCTTAATCCCACAACCGCCACTCCTCTCTCCATCTCTAGCCATTGCAGCGGCTGGCATCAAACCCTACAGCTGCCAACCCTCTCTGCCTCCCTACCCCCTGCTGCCGCCCTCTCCCCCTCCCAACTTGACCATCTTGACTTCAAATTTGGCCGCATTTGGTCGTTACTGTTGTGCATTGGGGCTGATAGGTAGCTTGCGAAAGGACCAAACACCTGATATACATTGATTAATTTTTAGGGGAGTTTTACTTGCTTTGCTGGGGTATTCTGAATGAGTTGCTTATGATTAAGGTTTTCCTGATTTTTGATTAGTGATGACTTTTTTGAAGATTAGTAAACTTTGGATTGTAGTGTTGATTAGTAATGGCCAATGATGTGTGGGTACGGTTGTCGAATTGGATTGCGTTAGGAGCTTGTTTTTGGGCCTCAACGTGTCGACACGGCGGTGATTTGCTTACACTCCCGGAGAAAGCTGATGAGTCTCTCTAGAGGAAGTTGTTGGCTTTGTTGGAGATTTAGGATGAAGATTGAAGATGAAGATTGACAATGTAGAATGAGAATGAAAAATCAAACCGGGGTTTGAAATTAATGACCCAGTTTAGGGCCCGGGTTGGTTGGACCGGTAGTTCGCTACTGTATCACCGGTCCAATAGCAGGTCAAAGCGGGCTATTGCAATTATCTTTTTCAGACCTGACCAGCCCGACTTAGCCCTAGTTTTCAGTTGATCGGCAAACCGGTCGAGCTGGGATGGATTTGAAAACATTGCTTACATAGGGTACACATTGTCTCCTTTCCAATACCTTGCTATTTCCCATATTAGATAAACTTTAGGTGATTCGGCAAAGAAAGTTTCTTGTTTACATAACATCATTACTTGTATCAAGTATTTTTTTTGATAACCTCGACGGTACGAGGAAATTTTATTAATATAAAAAATTTGACACCTGTAGGGGGACGTAATGAGCCTTACCCTTCAAATCTATGTTACATGAATATATATAAAAAATGATGTATGCATGCATGAAACACGAAAAAAAAAAAAGGGCAAAATACAAAACAACTCCCCATCTAGAATAACTGTACGTAACATACATCCAGTAATTGCCGACTGTATCATCTGTCAAATCCTTGTGAAAAAAGATAGAACGCATCCCACCATTGAAGAATGGAATTAATATTGTGAGTCAACTTTGAAATAATCATTTCTTGCAAAATTAAAGAACATGAAGACACCAGAGTTATCTTCCATGATTCAATCCGTTTCCGGCAAAGAAATATTAAAATTAAGCTCAGAAATATAAATTAACTCATACATTCCATAAACTCTGACATAAAAAAAAGCAAAGAATATGTGAGGAGGAGTTGCAAAGCATTTGGTATCATCAGCAAAAACCTAGCATAAATAAGCCATACTATACGGAAACTAAACCGGTAAAATTAAATCGTGATATATTGTAGTATGAACACTGAATTAGAAATAAAATCAAAACGTTCTATTCTTACAAATAAAGCAATCTACATTAAAGGAAAAGGAAAAGAGATTACCTGTGGACTGAATGCGATCATGGCTGCCTTTTTCAATATATTTGAGATCAGTAAAGTCGATTTTCGGGTGAGATCCAGATGAATCCACTCTCTTTTGGATACTGTCCTTCATCTTCTTTACTTAGGGCATGAGATGATCTTCAACTCCTTCAAAGTTGTAGCCTTATAAATGTAGTCTGGCAAGTCTCTAACTTGGGGCAGAATGCATGGTGAGGGACTCAATACGTTCCATAATTTTAACATTTCTTCTTTTGCAAACGCAATCCCGTAGTTCATCCTTTCCATTCTTTCATATCTGAAATCGAGATGTTTTAATTTGGAAAGGCCTCCACAGAGGATTTGCTATCTGTAATTTCCAATCCCAAAATTCATTATCCACTCTTTCCACTTCCTCGAACTCCTTATAATCCGTGATTCGAGGGATGATAATTTTCCCAAAGGAGGTAAATTATCCAGCTTCATGCAATGATTTAATGACAAAAACCTCAACTTTTTTAGTAAGGTTACCCATTTGGAAGACATAACCTTACCACTATATTGAACTATCTTTAATCTCATTAAATTGGGAGGTAATTGCAAGTTTTCAAGAAACTTTTCATCATGATCTTCATTACCTCCCATCCCAGTTTCTTCATCTTTTCTGAAACATAGACACACATCGAGGAGGCTTTCCTTATTCTGGAGGGTTGTAATTTCCTTCCGGTTTGTCGAGGGTTTTTTTTTTTCTTCATGATTCCCCAACTTTTTTATGCTAAGACACCCTCGAAGGTGTTTCAAGTCTTTGAGAGATTGAAGAGTACATGCTTTGCTACCGTTGCCACCATTACGACACACAATGAATTCACTTAATGTTCGAAGACGAGTTAATTTCTCGATTCCTTTCGGCAAGTAACTTAGCGAAGTCTCATCATTTACAATATGCCTTAGGTTGATCAACTTTTCCATCCTTTGAGGTAAAGTTTTGAGATTCCTACACCGATTGACCTCTAAGGTTTGTAAATTACTCAACTCGCATATTGTCTCAGGCAATTCTCTTATCCCTTTGTTGTTAGAAAAGTTGAGGTACCTCAAATGTACAAAATTTTTTATTTCTCCTGGAACTTCTTTGATTAATTTGTAAAAAGAATTATCCTGGTTGCTCAAATCTAATGCCCTTAGACAAGTCAATTGATCAAATAGCTTAGACAGTTCTACATTACTCATAAAACCACCTCTAGGCTCAACTAAAAGGCTACGCAACCTTTCTTTATGATCTTTAGCATAAACTTCTATGGGAAATGAGCTCCAAACTTCTTCCAACGTTATCATTAAATGCCGAACGTAAATATTTAAATGTTGAACATCAGTATTTACGAGCGAAGATTCATATCTCGTTGCCTCCATATGAAAACATTCATTCTCTGCTAGAAATCGAGCAAATTCACTCACCGAATCATGTAGCTTGCAACTTATTATGCTACCATCATATTCATATAATTGAAAATCTTGAAAAAAGGATCGCATTGCTAAGTGGTCAAAATACTCTTCTCCTATTAACTCCATATCATCCCTTTCCTCTTCTAACTTAATGAGATAACTCTGAGACATCCATAACTTTATCAATCGATCTTTTTCTATTTGATAATTGTTTGGAAAGATAGCACAATATAAGAAACATTTTCTCAATATGAAAGGCAAATCATAATAACTCAATAATAAAAGCGGGAATACAGACCCTCCTTTTACTTCTTCAAGTTCCCATATTTCACTATCTAAGACACTTTTCCACTCTTCTACACTTGTTTTAAAGCGTAAAAGGCTTCCTAATATCTTTATACCAAGAGGCAAACCATAATATTTTTTAATGATCTTTTGACCAATTTCTTCTAGTATTTTTCTCTCTTCATCATTAGGCCTTCCAGAAAGTGCAATCTGGTGACACAATGACCAACTATCATTATCAGACAGTCTCTCTAATGATATCGATTCGGTGGATTTTAAACCATTATTCTTATCTAATGAGGTCACCAGAATTCTACTTCCTTCATAACTACACTTAAGAGCATGGTTTAATTGTTCCCAATAGTTACCTGTAGAGTCAAAATGTACATCATCTAGGACAAGAAGAAAATTTTCTTTCTTATTACATCGACTTATGTGCCATAACACACTATCCCATTCAACAAAATTTGATGATGCATCATCTTTACTTAGAGATTCAAGAATTGTTGTGGCAACTCTAATCTTATTGAAGGGATAAGCGCATACCCATATTTTTTTATTGAAATGATTTTTTACTTTCTCATCATTAAAAACTTCACGAGCTAGAGTAGTTTTCCCAATTCCTCTCGGCCCAACAACAGAAATGATAGGGAGGATTTTAGTCATTTCACCACTCCCACTCCCACTAACCAAGAAGTTTACTATTTCATCCTTGACTTCATCTCTTCCATGAACTTTTGACATATTACCAACAAAAGAGGCAGTCAAATTTTGTTTTAGTTCTCTTGTGCCCTTCACCAACTTAAAATTGAACTCATCTTTTTCTACACTAACATCATGTAGTGTTTTACTAACATATTTAATCTTAAGAGCTATTTCTCCATGCAAACGAACTCGCTTATTACACATCAAATAAGGACGGATGGATGAACATACCTTTCTCATAAGAGTGGAATATCTTCGTTCTCCTGTGTCCTCTAATTCTTCAGGTCGTAGTTTTTGGATCGCAGTCGTCCACTCATCGAACATCTCCTCGATATCATAGAACTTGTATTTAAGTTTATGTAACCAATATCCCACAGCAAGATCGTCAATCTGTCTGCTTTCCGCGTCCTCGAGCACCTCACGAATGGCCAACATTTGGTTGAAGAACTTGCGAAATTCTTCCTCCACGCACACCACTAGTCTTAACCCTTCTTGTTTTTCCTGACGAAGCATTGAGTTCAGTTTGTCGAAGGCTGTGGAAACAATCACCTGATCAGTCATAGTCAAAGATGGTAATTGCCCTTACAAAGATGAGAATTTGAAGTATTTAGTGTCTGTAATTTTGTAAAATGCTTACTATTTTCCTTTTGATCTTTATATATGTTGCATTTATTGAAATAGTCAAAGAATATTATGTCTTGCGTGGCTTGAAGCAAAGTTTTGCTTTGACGCTAAGTAACGTATGTATCGTTCTCCAAGTTATTCCAAAATTCTTTTCTTTTTCCTTAATGTACATATTACTCATAACTCCAAATTTATCCGGGTAGTCATTATAAACTTATTGTAAAAATTACCAAATTATTGTTACGAAATGAACTTGTCTAATGTTTGAATACTTTGACGTGACCTATTTACCTGATGGACACAAATAGTGTCCAATTTAACATTAACTATGATGCTGAGAGAATGGAGAACAGAGAAAAGAAAAAGGAAAAAGAAAAGCAGAAGAAAAAGAAAAAGAAAAAGAACCTATATAGCATAGATAAATTGGAAAGAAAAATGAAAAAGAGAAAGAAAAAGAATAGAAGTTGGTGGCATGGTGAATGTTTATTGGTAAGGGAGAGAATAAAGATATTTTTAAGTTTTTGTATTTGTACGTATTTGTTATGTAGAAATACAAGAAGACAAAAAAAAAAAAAAAAAAAAAAACTAGAACCTTATAATACCAAAATTATCATTATAGAGTAATGTTTGTATCTCCTTGTAGGATTATCTATCCAAATATAAATTATATTTGGCAAATGGGTGGGCCGGGCAAGCATGGGTCGGGTAACCATGGGTATGGGTCAAACGGGTAAAATTTTTGGATAAGTAAGAAAATGCATCAGCTGTACTCGTCTTATGGGTCGACCCGCGGGTCACCCGTCTCCCACATATATTTTCACTTTTTATTTTTGTCCCAAATTTGTTTAAACTTTTTTATTTTTATGCAGCACCAGCAATACAATTTCATGATCAATCACACAATTTCATCATCAATTTCACCCATCTGATACACTAAAAAAGGAGATAATTTGAATCAAAAGAATCCTTATTGGTTACATTATAACCCAAGTGCTATTTAAAGGGATTGATCTATAGAGTAGAAGTTTTTCAACTTGTAGTTTCTCAGCCGGGTAATTGAGATTAAAAACCATATGATACAAGAAAAAAATTATGAAGTTAGAACATTAATATTCAAAGTTTTAGCTTTAAAATATGAAAAAAGTAATCCAATCAGTAATATTAGAAATTTGGTAGTATAATATAACACTTAAATTTAATAATAAGGATTATATTTTAGCATCTAATCACTTATATATAGGTAAGAGCTATTAGCAGACAGCAGAACAATTTAAAAAATCAAAACATTTTGCAATTCTTATTAATTTTAATTTCTTATTTTTCCACTTGATTTTAGGTCTAGATCAACCCAGTTGTCTCATGTGGGTAACACGCATAAATCTTCAATTGAGTTTAAAAATATTCATTCTCTATTTATCTCAATTCATTGTAATTGCATTTTTTTTTTTTTTTTTTTTTTTTTTTTTTTTACTATTTCAAATTTTTTTTTATTTAGTGCAGGCACCCACGGGTATCATCCTTAGTCTATGGGTGGGCCGTACAAGTAACAACCATATGAGCCTAAATATATTACCAATACTTGCAAAAATTACTTGTGACCAGTTTACTAAGTCTAATATAATAAGTTCACAAAATAATTTCATATATATATTATATAATTGACTCCTAAGATGCCAAGGAGGCTGAAATTATGAATAAACAACATTGAAACACACAATCCAAAGATAACTCCATCCCTGACCAACAATAATATCATCAATAGCTAAAACTAGAGGAAAAGAAAGTTGTTTTAACTCCTAAAGACATAACCAGGCAACCATCAAAATCCTAAGACGATGGAACACAACCCCACAAGAAAAGGGTCAGGTTGCCTTTAACTCTAATACAAGAATCTAATCATAGCACATAATTCACATCTTAGGAGACTTCAAAGAGGAGTCAAAATAAGACCAAGAAAATGGTCAAAAGATTTCCATAATTCACATATCTGGGGCCATTCTATTGAAGTATAACAAATGAATTTGCAATCACAAAGGTAGATCTTAATTTATAGTTTTATATAAAATACTTTTATAAATATAAAAAATGTATATCAAACCAACTATTATATTCATTTAATTATATATTTTATTCTTCAAGAAGTATGGATAACCTGTTATTTATTTTCCAAATTTCAAAGAATTGTCAAATGAATTGAAAAAGCTTTGTATTGGTTGAACTGGATTGGTACTTAGGCCACGAAATCCAATTATTTGCCAACCTGATGTCACAGACATAGGAAAAGTGTAGGAAGCGCTAGGGGTGGAAAAAAAAGACGAAAACCAAACCAAACCGAAAATCGGATCGAAAACCGAACCGAAATTTGGTTTTTCTAAAATCTGGTTCGGTTTCGGTTTAAAAAATTCATAAACCAATTATCGGTTCGGTTTTCGGTTTACATGTATTTTAAACCGGTTACCGAAACCGAAATCCGGTCTCAAAATAAATAATACATATTATTAAATTAAGCCCACCGCCACTTTCTCTTTCATCTATCTTTTCCTCATTTTCAATCTTCTCCTCACTTTTCCTCTTTCATCTTTCTCTGTCACTTCTCTCTTTCAACGTCCTTTTTCATCTCATCTTCTCCTTTACTTTTCTCTTTTGTTCATCTTCTTCTTCTCCTTTGTTCTTTTCACTTTTCACCTTTTTTTCGTCTCTTCTCCATCTCTTCTCCTTCAGTTTTCTCAGTCTCATTCTCTCTAGTCTCTGTCTCTCACTCTCACTCTCTGCCTCTCCACTCTCTGTCAGACTCTCATTGTCTCTTCTTTTTTCAGATCTGCGTTCTCACGTCGTTCGCTCAGCGCAGTCGCCGTTGTCGCATTCGCCGTCGTCGTCTGTTGCGGTGGGTTTTCAGATCTGTGTTGTCACGTTTTCAGATCTGGGGTTTGACATTGAAATTTGGTTTTAATTCTTGTATAGTACTGATGGCTGTGTATTTGTTAGTTAGAACTTAGAATGAATGATTTAGAACTACAGTTTTTGTGTTACTTCATCAATAAATGAATAATGATTTTGGAGTTGAGAATCAATTGTTATTTGGTTAGAAATGACTGATCTTGGTGTTCAACGTCATAACCTAAAAAAAAAAATAAAGGACTGATTGGGCCAAAAAATGCAGCCCATAATGGTGACCGAATTGGCCGAAAAAGGCAGCCCATCATAATTTTAATTAACCGGTTTAAAAACGTTAACCGAACCAAATTTTTGGTTCGGTTTATAACCGAAAGGATCGGTTTCGGATCAATTTATTTTTAAACCGAAAACCGGTTCGGTTCAAACAACAGGTTAACTGGTCCGGTTAATCGGTTTTTTCCACCCCTAGGAAGCACTCTATAATCTGGATCTTTTCTCGATTTGCGTTTTCATGAGCTTTTAAAAATCTCTAACATGTGGTATTTCACATATTTACTATTCATATTTTTTGTCTATTATTCTGAAACACAAATCACAACCTTTATTTGGCCCTCAAGTAAAGATCAAATCATAGAGAATCTTGGTCCAACAAGTAGCCACAATAAGTAGTGTTAAAATTTTTTTCAGAGTAAAACATGTTCCCACCCGAGTTTAGCGAAATGACAAAGTACTCCCTGATTTCATTTATATAAGACTCATATCTTTAAGTAATACCGTTTGTTAAAATGTTAACACGTAGGCGGCGTGCATTAGCAAGCTAAAGTACGTTAGAGCTTTTCTGGGCAGAAGACAGACTTATATAATAGCGTCCAAGTCACTATTTTAGTTTTATATGGTCATTCTGAAGTGCAAAATCACTTCCAAAACTACTATTGGTTCCCCACAACCTCTTTTATAAACACATGCCTTCACTGCCGACCTCACTTACTGTTTTCGATCACTTCATTCTTGCCACCTTGTGAGATTGGTTGTTCTCAAGCTTTTTCTGATCGATATGGTATAAGCGACCCCTCCAGATTTCACTACCAGCTTCTCTGCCATCAGTTGATTGTTGTGATAGTTTTTTGGCCGTTGCTACTTTCCAATTGTGGGAAATCAAAACCCAAATTTGTGCCCATAACCTGCTCGATTAAAGTCCTGGCCCAGCTACTTGCCTAGAGCCAATCCCATCACCACTAAATAACTAAATTAACGTGTTACTTTTAAGGGTAGGAATGTGTTATTTTAAGGGTAGAAATCTAGAATAAATAAAATCAGATATACCCTTTCCATTTCACTAAATTCGTGGAAACATGTCACTAAAACTCGGGTGAACATGTCGTTACTCTTTTTTCATTAATCTCCTAATAGATATTCTGCCAGCCGCTTCCTGGCATTCTACGCTTTCTTTGCTTTTTCCTTTTCCCCTGTCTTATTCCTTTTCTTTCATGCACTCGCTCCCTCGGATCTTCTGTTTTATTTTCTTTCTTTGTCTCTCTCTTTTCTTTCTTTTCTCCTTATGTTATTCTTTCTTTTTCTTATTTGAGACTTCATTGCTAGACTTCTTTGAATAAGATGGATGCTGTTAAGTGGCCAAAATAATGAAGTCAATTTGGTTATAGAGAAACCAAACATATACGATGATTTATTATATCATTCTCTCCTGTAGAAGTAGATTTTTTGAGACCCGTTGTCCAATCCTGGCCAAAGAATGTATTAAATTATAATGTTTACATTTGTGATGCAAGATAATTGGTGGAAATCTTGTTTTTTAGTGCATTCCTCTCCATATATCAGTTTTTCCTTATACATGCCTATGTCATAAGGTTTTTATATCCACTCTTTGTTACTTTTGCATGCAAGAATTTTTTTTTTTTTTTTTTTCGCTGTAAAAAAGAAAATCTTGTATACAGGAGTTCACTCTCATTTTTGAGGGCTTAGGTATGCGAACAAATTATTTTGTGCATAAATATTTCTAATGAATATTCTGCGGGCATCGGGGTAGCTATATATATATATATTAATATATATCAACTTTAGTTTTGCTTTAGAAACAGGCTTGAAGAACAAATA